AGGAATAAATATAACTATTAAGAGTATATTAACTAGATAATCTCAGAAAACCCAAATTGAGTCAACAAATATTTTTATTTTAAGACAATTTTAATACAAAGCAAAACTAAATAGATTTTACTATAATCTGGAAAAACATAATAATGTTTTGCTGTGCCACCTTTCAGAACGTTAAACAGAATCATTTTTAAGAACTGAATTTTATTTGTTATTTAATTTCACTTAGGAGACTTGCAACCTAATAACCTACCTGGAAATTTTTCTCCTCTTGTGGGAATCTATTAAAGGCGGAATGTCAGCTTTTCCAATTAAACATTTCACAAGGAGGAAAAACTCCAAAAGCACGTGCCAAACCATCCACGGTAAGTCACTTTCTGCCCTTGGATGGGACCCAGCATGTGAGAGTCTGGAAATGCTTTTAGAGGGTGTCTCTGAAAATGCTGGGTCTCACATCAAAATGCCATCCTCCTCCCTCTGCCACAGAAGAAAAAATATTTGTGCTGGAAAGTAAAATGAACAAATATGGAAACTGGGACAGCAGGAGCTGGGGACAGCCCTGGGTGGGGCAAGCAGCCCTGCCCACTTCTGGGGAAAAATTTTGGTGGATTCCCACCCTGTGGTCACACTGCCCTTCACAGCTGGGAAAGAACTTCCCTACCCAGCATCTCAGTGGAATTGCCCGGCAGCCCTTCGGGATGGGGACTGCTGCCACCCATGTTTTACAGTTGAAGAAACTGAGGCTCAGAGAGGTTAAATCACCTGCCCAGATTCACAAAACGAGCAAAGTAGCTGCAGCAGAATCAAACCCTGGTCTCCTTACTGCACCTTCTGAACCCTTCCTCTTGGCCAAGCCACCCCTCTCTACGTACTCCGTCTGCACCCCCAACCCTCCCTCCTGTAGCTCCTCTCACAGTTCTGTTTTGCGCCCAAGAACCCCATGTGAACATGAGGGCAGGGCCGCACTACAGGGCACTGGCCAGAGCCACAGCCTGCCTGGCTCGGTAATGACTCCCCCGTCCGTGGGGGTATGCAAGCAGAGCTAGACACAGGATGCAATGTGGCCCTGGAAAATGTGCAAAGTGATTTCCAGCATCTTCTTCCTCTTCTCTCGTTAACTTTATGCTGTCCGTTCCTTCCTCGCTCAGCCACAGGATCTGGGGCCACTGGCCCCCGTACTGGGTTGAATAGTGTCATAAACTTCATGTCTACCTGGCCCCGGTGAATGTGAGTTTATTTGGAAATAAGGTCTTTGCCAACATAATCAAGTCACACTGATTTCGGGCGGGTCCTCCCTCCAATGATTTGGGTGGTTTTAAGAAGAGGGAAATGTAGCACAGAGACACAGAGGAGACACAGTGGGAGGAGGGTCACAGTAGGGTGGAGGCAGAGATTTGGACGGCTGTAGCTGTCAGCCAGGGAATGCCGAGAATGGCAGGCAAGCAGCAGACGCTGGAAGAGGCGAGGCAGGGTTCTTCCCTGGAGCCTTCGGAGGGAGCTGCTGACGCCTTGATTTCAGACCTCTCAGGTCCAGACGGTGTGGGAATAAACTCTCGTGTTAAGCCACCCGCTATGTGCTGCTTTGCTAATGCAGCCCTAGGAAGCCAATACAAGCCCCATCTCCAGCAGCTCGAGGGAAGCCCGTCTACATCTCCCAGCACCCTGCTCCCATGACTGGGTCTAGAGAGGCACATTTAACCCACAGAGAACCAGTGGGATTCTAGAACATACGTGCTGGGGCTTGGGGAAAAGGAAACCGTCTTCCGCTCTGTGTGAGCCTGGAAGGGCATAGCCAGAGTTAGTGCTGAAAGGAGAGAGGTTTTGTGATAGAAAACAAAAAACAAACAAACAAAAAAAAAAAACTGAGAACAGAGGCAAAAGGAAATAGCATCATCCTAGTCCTAGATCAAGCGGAGCCTTTCTGAAACCAGAACTAACTGTGACGTTTTTGGTCCAGAATGAGAAGGTTCCCGGGTAACTTAAGGCTGCTTGGTTTCCGTTTCTGTCTAAAAGCTTTCTAAGTAATCCAGGGAGTCAAGCACTGGATGGCTGTGTGGTCCAAAGAGGCTTGATGATCTTTTTTTTCTTCACTCATGCCTTCTAACCCTGTACACTAATACACCTAGAAATAAATTCTGAATTCTTCCGGCATTCCCTGCATTCCACTCCTAAAGGGGGGACGTAATTGAGAAGGTGGCATTACAAACACATATTCTGGGCTTTCCAGTTAGTCCTAGTTGATCCTGAATCCTGGGAGCGATTGAGATGTGGGGAAAATATAATGGTCTCGCCTTTGCAGAAAAATCAGTTCAGGTGCCCTGACGTTTCCACCTGCTGAGGCTTTGGAGGAAACCTCCTGCCTAATGCGGGAGGCCACAGGTGCTTTCGACAAAGCCTCCCCTGTGACCGACCCCTTCGGAGCGGCAAGATTTGGCTCTTCCAGCTGGGTCCTGGGGGTGGCCAGTGGAGGGAGGAAGGGAGGACGCGGGGGAGAACTCAGCCCGGGGCTCCAGGGACAGGAGGACGCTCAGTTTGCAGCTGACCTCCCATCCTCTGTCCGAGCGCCTCTCTGGCCAGCAAGAGGCTCATCTAGGCTGATTCAATGTTAAGGACTCCTTTTAAGAAAAAAACAAACTACACGTATAAAGTTAAGTATGGACGTGAATATTTATTTAAAGTGGGAAAAGGAATTACTGCAAACTGGAAATGTTAGAAAGTTGGCAAATGCCATGAACACCTGAAAATCAAAGTAAATAACAAATCATCATCATCACCACCACCACCTGCCTGCCCACCTCTATTACACCTGTTTTACTCCAGTTTTGGCTGCAGATTCTCTTATAACAATTTCATAGGATTCTTTTCTACAGTGACAATAAAAAGGTAATTTAATATTTTCTTTAGGCATGTTCACTTTATTTTATTTAGTTATGTATTTTTGAGATGGAGTCTGTCACCCACGTTGGAGTGCAGTGGCGCAATCTCAGCTCACTGCAACCTCCACCTCCCGGGTTCAAGCGATTCTCCTGCCTCAGCCTCCGGAGTAGCTGAGATAACAGGTGTGTGCCACTATGCCCGGCTAGTTTTTGTATTTTTAGTAGAGTTGGGGTTTCACCATGTTGGCCAGGCTGGTCCCGAACTCCTGACCTCAAGTGATCCGCCCATCTCTGCCTCCCAAAGTGCTGGGATTACAGGCATGAGCCACCAGGCCCGGCCTAGGCATGTTCACTTTAAACTCATTTTTAAAAATTGATATTCTAGAGAAATTTCCTTCGGGTCCACAACTCATCATCGTGTTGTTGTATCTCACTTCACCCTTGGGCTTCATGATGCTTCCTGCCTTGCGCAAGTGGGCAGGAAACTCCAGCCCTCTGACCTCCGTTGGCAGTGGCTCCCTACAGATGCCTCCACTTTCTCTCGTCGTCCAGCTCCTCTGGGTTCTCGGCAGCCCCAGTTTCACCTCCTGCCTGGCCAGGCCTGGAAGGCAGGGCATGGGTGAAGTGGCTGTGAATGCTTTGCTTAGAGTCCCAAGCAGGAAGTGGAGCCACATCTTTTTCTGATCCTTCTCTTTGGGGTCAAAGATGAGGTTGGTCAGGGGCAAGGGAACACTGGTGTCAAGTGAACGTGGTGGCAGGGCTGGCAGCCCTCCAGCTCTGATCAGTCCAGGACCAGGATACAGAAGCTGACCCTTAATGTGTGTTCTTGGGGTGGATGTGTGACCAAAACCTGGTCAAGCAGGGTCATGTTGATTGGCTCAGAGATGGCATTTGCCTTAATCTGAGGTAATGTAAGTCAGCCTCCAGGAGTCTCTTTCCTTTAGGGCTGCTAAGCCAGGAGGATGTCAGCCTGAAGCTGCTGGGAGACATTTTTGTCACCTGTGGGGAGGGCCCACCTTACAAAAAAGATGCTACAGCAGAAAGCAGAAGCAGTGCATGGAAAGGGCCAGATTCCTGGTGACATTGCTTGAACCCCTAGATCCAGCCATGCCTGAAGCCCACAACTGGGCTCTATGTCAATAGACCTGATCTCCAGTATGCCCAGGCCAAATCCCTCAGTTTCCTGCTTGTCTGATCCTGCACTTCATCCGTTCCTGCTTGGGAATACCCTAACCATTCTCTTTCTCCACCCTATTCATCCACCCTTTGGGGTCCCTTGACCTCTAATGTCTGCCCTTGCTGATGCTGACAAACAGATGATGAGGAAAGCATGAAGACCCCGTAGGAATTTTGTGAGCCTGTGACTTCCCCAAGTAGAAGAGAGAACTGTGCTTTCCCAGCATCCCCGGGAGCTATAGTCATGTGACATCACTCTGTCAATCAGATGAATCCACTCAAGGCTTTGATTCCAGAATTGGTGATGCAGAGGTGCAAGCACATGCAAAGCCACCCCGGGAAAAGCATTCAGTTTCTAGAGGCAGCACTGACAGAGGAGTCTCTAGCAGTGGCCTTCACCACTCAGCATTGGCAGGGAAGTACTGCTCTGTCTGGGCTTGGTGATGGTAGTCAAGGCGTCCCACTGGACAGCCTTGATCTTGCTATGGTGAGGCACAGTCCCGGCTATGTAGTTCTAAGCCCACTTCTCTGCCCCTCCTAGAAATTCACTGAACTGTGTGATATCCTTTAATAACTTAATAACTTTTTTTTTTTTTTTTTTTTTTTTTTGCTTAGTGTGGATACTCTTGTTTGCCACTAAATCTTGGCTCCACCCAGTGGCTAATGCCTGTAATCCAGCACTTTGAGAGACCGAGGTGGGCAGATCACTTGAGATCAGGAGTTTGAGACCAGCCTGGCCAATATGGTGAAACCCTATCTCTACTAACACAAAAATTATCTAGTGTGGTAGCGTGTGCCTGTAGTCCTTGGTAGCGTGTGCCTGTAGTGCCTGTAGTGTGGTAGCGTGTGCCTGTAGCTACTTGGCAGGCTGAGGCATGAGAACTGCTTGAACCTGGGAGGCAAAGTTTGCAGTGAGCCGAGATTGCACCACTGCACTCCAGCCTGGATGGCAGAGCAAGACTCTGTCCCCCAACCAAACAAAAATTGGAGCAATCTTAATCATATCCCTGGGCATGCTCAAACTGGATAACTCAAAGTTTAATAAAGGATCTATTTTCCAAGTTGAAGGCAGGATGTAGGGAAATCGCAGGGCACGGTGCAGTGCCCCAGGATGAGTAACTGAGAGAGGGTTACCACCATCAAACTTGCTGGGACAAAGCGGGTAGAAATTACATGAACCTGGAGAGAAAGGCGAAAAGAGCTGTAAGCTAGGGAGGGATCCGCAGGAGAAATAGTCCTACTCATTCTTCTCCCTGCCTACTACCAAACGCCAGGACTCCTAACCCAACCAGAAGCTGAGCATGGAGCAGCCCACTGATGGAGCCCAAACAAGTCAACCTGCTGACGAACAGGAGGTAGAGGTCGAATTTGTTGGGGCGAATAAACAGAGAATTCCTGGTTCAAATCCTCATTCCCAATCAAACTATTTTTGGAAAGGCGGATTGGATGGAGAAAAAGGATAGACAGGAGAGACGGAAGAATTTTAATTTGAATCCTAGTACACAGACACTCAACATAATTAGAAGGCGAAATAAGTATCATGGAGGAAATTAACAAGGGACTTGGAAGGGTCCAATGGAAAGTGAGGTCGGTGATTTCAGGAGACAGGGAAGCTCACCAAGGTGTAATGTGGGGATGGCATCTCCCCAGCGGTCCAGGTAAGGCGACAGTCCTGAGGTAGAAGGAAGGAGGATAGGGCAGAGATGATGGACAAGTCTGTAATTTTGGTAGTGGCCTTCGGTATTGGGCAGGCTGTTTGGCTGCAAGTAACAGACACATAAAATAGCAGTGGCTTAAATGAGCTAGAAGGTATTTCAACCAAAGACTAACGTGATGTCACTGAGGGGAGAATCAGGGAGAGACGTGTGGTATCTCCTCTAGGTCTCTGTAAGAGTTACTATATATAAATAGCCTGAAGGGCACAGATGATAGTAAAATGTAGTAAAACTAGGCGATGAATTTTGAGTATAACTATTTTTGTTTTAATATAATTATAAATTTAAATCATTTGATTTTTAAAATCACGACTGTTTAACAACTTGCAAACATCCTGAAAATGTAGCAATCAGCTTTCACAAGCCAGCAAAGCCAGCTCCAGCGCACCACTGGATACAAGGGAGAAGCATCTAGAACGGAGAAGATAGGAGCACTCAAGGGGCCAGGGTCCTTGGGGGCTCAGCCAGCACCCACGTGTGCAGGGATGGATGACAATCATCCAGCACCTGTGTTAGCTCTTCATTCTCCCCAGCATCGGGGAGCTTCTTGGCAATCCCTTCCTTAAGTGATCTCTGGTTTTAGCTACTTGCTCAGTCCCCCATCTGATTCACCCTGACCCTTTACAGGGTCCAAAGGAGGGATCTGGGTAATGAAGGATGAGTAAAAATATTCCCTGAAGGGAAATAGGATCTAAATATACCCCTGGGACATAATTGTCCCCATTCTGCAGATGAGGAAACGGAGGGTTGAGGGAGTTATTATTTTCCCAAGTTCGAGGTCTGCTGAGAGGCAAAGGCAATATTGTCAGGCAGGTTTGTTGGCCTCCAAACCAGTCTCCTTTCTGCAGAGCCATCCTGCACCATCCTGGAGACAGCTCCTGGACCAGCATTCAGAATTCCAGTTCACTGGGGCGGAAATAAATCTTAAAAATGACCTGGTCCAAAATTCCCATTGTACATGAGGGCAAACTGAGGCCCTTGGTCATTCATACAGCAACGACACCAGCTGACCAAGGACTAGAGCTGAGGCCTCCTATCAACCAGGCAGAGTTGCTGGCAAAGGATAAATATTCTGGGTAAGAGAATAAGAGGAGCTGAATAAAACTCAGATAAAAGAGTCAAAAGGCCTGTAATCCCAGCACTTTGGGAGGCTGAGGCCGGTGAATCACTTGAGGCCAGGATTTTGAGACTAGCCTGGCCAACACGGCAAAACCCCATTTCTACTAAAAATACAAAAAGTTAGGCAGGCATGGTGGCATGTGCCTGTAGTCCTAGCTGCTTGGGAGGCTGAGGCACAAGAATTGCTTGAACCCAGGAGGCAGAGATTGCAGTGAGCTGAGATCATGCCAGTGTACTCCAGCCTCAGCAACACAGTGAGACTCTGTCTCGAGAAAAAATGAAGAGTCAAAAAAGAGACTTCCCCCACCCCAGAATGTCCCAACCAGTTGAAAAAAGAGATTAGAGAAGATATTCTCATTTGGATTTAGAGGTGATATCAGGAGAGACTTCTGGCAGGATTGATACCCTTGAGATTCTTTGAGAAAGTCCACGGTGCAACAAAGACTCCATAAAATATTCTTATTATAAATACTGCAGAGATGTGCAAGTCAATGGGGAAACTGAGGAACAAAGCTAGATCTTCAGAAACCCTTAGGGCCTGAGACTCAAAATGAAGAGTTGGGTACTCTCAGACTTTAATCGTTTTTGCCCCAGGAAAAAAAAAAAAAAAAAAAAGACCTCCTTTGGGGTAGGGGGCACTCCCAAATGACAAGCTGGAACTTGCGCTCTGGGGGCTAGGAAGCAGGACGCTGGAGATGGTTGCCAAAGCCATGGTTCCAGAATTTCCAGGAAGACAGATTCCTCAGGAGGCCGCAGAGACCTCGATGCGGCTGTACTGGATGCCAGTGGAGTTCTGCCTGTGGCCAAAGCTCAGGGCAAACCTGTCAAACAGAATGCGTGGGATCAGGGCGTGGCAGGGCCTGGGGCCTTCCCTGCTGAGTGCGCCTTCCACTGGGGTTCCACTCCCCAATCTCATCTTCACTCCTACCATGATCCTCCCTGCTTCCGTTAGTACAGATGTCTACCTGCTTTCACCTGGATACCCCAGCAGCTCCTTCCTGGTCTCCCTGGATCTCCCCTGGCTTCCTATAGCTCCTTCTCACCATTACGTCCACAGTGACCTCTCTTTTTTCTTCCTTTTTTTTTTTTTTTTTTTTTTTTTTTTAGATGGAGTCTTGCCCCGTTGCCCATGCTGAAGTACGGTGGTGCGATCTCAGTTCACTGCAACCTCCGCCTCTCAGGTTCAGGCAATTCTCCTGTCTCGGCCTCCCAAGTAGCTGGGACTACAGGTGCATACCAATGTACCTGGCTAATTTTTTTTGTATATTTTAGTAGAGATGGGATTTCACCATGCTGGCCAGCCTGGTCGCCATCTCCCGAGCTTGTGATCCACCTGTCTTGGCTTCCCATAGTTCTGGGATTACAGGCGTGAGCCACCGTGCCTGGCCCATAGTGACATTTCTAAACAGAAAAATCTGTCACTCCTCACTGATATGATTTCGATCTGTGTCCCCACCAAAACCTCATGTTCAATTGTAATTCCCAGTGTTGGAGGTAGGGACTGAAGGGGGGTGATTGGGGACAGTTTCTCAAGAATGGTTTACCACTGTCCTTTTTGGTTGTGTCCTCGAGATGGTGAGTGAGTTCTGGTGAAATCTGGTCATTTGAAAGTGTGTAGCACCACTCCCTGCTCCCGCCATGGAGAATGTGCTGGCTGACGTTCCCCTTCCACCATGATTGTAAGTTTTGTGAGGCCTCCCCAGAAACTGAGCAGACACCAGCATCATTCTTCCTGTACGGAGTACAGAACTGTGAGCCAATTAAACTTCATTTCTTTATAAATTACCCAGTTTCTTCATAGCAATGTGAGAACGGTCTGATACACCTGCTCAGAAGGATAGCGTTATCATGCTCAGCCTAACATCCCATCTCCTCCCCAGGGCTGACCTCCCCGACACCAACCCCTCCAGTCCCTTGGCTTATCACACCCTGGACACATGGGCCTCCTATGTCTCTCCCTTCAAAACGCCTAACTTGTTTCCACCTCAGGGCCTTTGCTTTTGCTGTTCCCTCCACCTACAACATTTCTTTTTTGTTTTTTTTGAGATGGAGTCTTGCTCTGTCACCAGGCTGGAGTGCAATGGCGCGATCTCGGCTCACTGCAACCTCCGCCTCCTAGGTTCAAGTAATTCTCCTGCCTCAGCCTCTGGAGTAGCTGAGATTACAGATGTGCACCACCATGCCCAGCTAATTTTTGTATTTTTTAGTAGAGATGGGGTTTCACCATGTTGACCAGGATGGTCTTGATCTCCTGACCTCGTGATCTGCCCACCTCAGCCTCCCAAAGTGCTGGGATTACAGGCGTGAGCCATCATGTCTGGCCACCTGGAACATTTCTTCCAGTTCTTGAAACTGTTTCTTCTGCTGGAACATTTCTCCAGCTCTTGAAACCATTGGCTTTTTCTCATAATTCCAGTCTCAGCTCAGAGCAGGTTTCTGTCAGTATCATTCATTCAGCCAGAGATATGATTAAAGATGACAGTGCCAGGCACTGTTCTAAGCCCTGGGACAGGGCAGTGAGTGAAACCAATACACAAAAGTGTCATCATGCTTGTTGAAAATTCCTGATACACTCGTAACACAAATGCACACATAGCTATGTGCACCTTAGCTAAAGAAACCGTATCCGTCTCCCAAATCTGTCATTCACTCTCTGGTAGGTTAACCTGTCTTATTTTCTTCATGATATAAAAAACTCTGAATTATCTTATTGTGCATTTTGAGTTTTGTAGTCTATCTCTCTCCTGTACATTAAAATGTAACTTCCTTCTAAGTCCAGAGACAAAGTCTCTCTTGGTCATGAGTCTGTCCCCAGAGCCTACTACAGTGCCTGGCATTTGTAAATATTTGCTGAAAGTTGAATGAATTGATTCCTGAGAAATTGGGATAAAACAGAAATCTTTGAAGGTGCGTTTTTGTTATTATATCCCCCAAGGAATCAGTAGAGGCCTCTTTTGAATGGAAATAACCTGATAAGAAAGCAAAATAAACAGCATTTCGGCAACCGATTGCCACTGACTGATTGTAAGGCGATCTGAGCCCCCTGTGTTACTAATGTTCCTGCAGCAGGTAGAGGAGCTGGATCTGTAAGTTGTAGGTCTCCTTTTCCAACAAGCGCATCTGAGGCAGAGGGAGGCAGCCGTCAGCCCACAGTAGTGGGTGTCTGCTCTACCGCATGTGCCTCCAATTTGGGGGGAACTAGTCTACTCTGTGGCATGTGGCTTGACTGGACTGTCAGTCAAGGAGTTCTGCCCTATCCTGGCTAAGTGACGGGTTAGGAGGTGGGCACATAAATCGGGCTTGGCCAATCAGACTTCCTCCTGAGACCATGACTCTTGTATGGAGGACACAGGAATGAAAATAGCTGATGTCGAAATGTTCCTGCTGTCAAACTCCCTGGACATGCCTTGGTCCCTGTGTTCCCAGAGTCAAGTTTCTCTCTCTCTCTGTGGCCTCTGATATCAAGAGCCCCCTGAACTCTAGGGACAGAGATGATAAAACACAGACCTGCTTCCAGACTCCACCAAAACCCCTAATTTCCTGTCTTCTCCAGAGTCATAGCAGACCTAGCCTCCAGTCCCCAGGGGCTGGCCCCGGCTCCCTCATGTGACCCCAGACCCAGCCTGACACCCCCTGCTGCAATCACATCCTCCCTTACTCCAGAGCTGGCTCCCACGTGCCTTTCTACCTCCTCTGCTTTTTGTACCAGAGGATGGATTTGAAATCTTCTTCCAAGAAAACCAGTATGGCGGAGATTCCAGACAGCTGTCTAGTAACAGAACCCTTGATTTTTAGCTGGGCACATGGCTGCCCAGACTGAAGACCACATGTCTTAGCCTCCCCTGCCAAGTCCTATACAAAAGCACGTGGGTAGGAGTGACCTTGAGGACTGTGCCCACCCTTTCCCCTCCCCCATCCTCTGGCAGGTATCGGGGGGTGGACCTCTTTGCGCCATGCAGGAAACGTGATATGGAAGATTGGCAGAGGAATGAGACAGAAGGAGCCTGGGACCCTGCATGACCTTATGGCACACAGCTGCCACCCAACCCTGGACATCAACAGACATTGGACAACTTCAAGCAGCCAAATCGATTTCCTAACTAATGCAGCTGGGACGCTGAGGGGCCTGCCGAAACTGCAGAAGGCGTCACTCAACAAAGTAGGACAGAGCATTCTGGGGTGGGGAGGACCAGGTTACAGGCTCTTACATCAGGAGCCAGATTGGGATGGGGCTTAGCAGCTGGCTCAGGGTTAGCTAGTCAATGTTAGAATGATTTTTTAAAAAACTTTTTATGACTTCCCGGAATCAGAATGGGCAGTCAGGAGCTGGTGACTACGACGTACTTACAAGAGGTAACTGGGGACATTTGCCAAGGATGCCTAGGACTGTAGCACGTTGAAGTCCCTTCCGAAGCTCCCGTTCTACTCTTCTTTTATCTGAAAGCCTAAGGTCTCATGATGCTAAGATTCTGAACTTCCCCCAGTGACCTGAAGACCTGATGTGATCTAGCGCCTTCCCGTCTGGCCCATCCGACCCTCCACACCCTTCCCTCCTTCCTTCCCTCTGTTCCAGGCACGCTGGCCTCCCTGCTGCTCCTTGCACATGCCAGATACACACCCACCTCAAGGCCTTCGCACTCACTGTTCCTCCCGTCTTCATCGTTACATGGCGGCCTCCCTCTCACTAGCTTAAATTCCACTCCGCTGAGAGGACTTCCCTCCCTGACCGCCCTCTCCACTTCAGCCCCTTTCTTCTTTGCTCCTCTGTGTCCACCTGGCCCTCTCAACATATTTTGGTCTGTTTCATTTTCTCCTAACTACCCGTCACCAGCGAAAATGCTCTTGTTGATGCATATTGTTGGCTTCTCTGCCCCATCAAATGGAAGCTCCTTGAGGACAAGAACTTTGTCTTCTTTAATCTCAGCATGTTTTCTAAGGCTCTAAACACAGTCTGGCACATCGTAAGGACTTAATAAATAGCCACGGAATGAATGCGTGAACTCACAAGTGTTTTGCATGCAGTGTTTGAAGGCCATGTTATCATGTTTTGCTTCCAGAAGGTCCCATGACTAAGATAGTCTAAGGTTTTAAGATTCTACTCTTCCAGCCCCTTGTGACACCTTAATCAATTGATTTTTAAATCCCCGTAAACTGGGTCTTAAAGTCAAATGAAAAGGTACTGTAGGGAAATACAAGATGACCCGAGGAAAACAGCTTGTGTGTGGCCAGACAAAACTCACAGTGCCCAGGCAATAGGGAAGCCAGGAGGGTGCTCGTTTTCATCCACCATGAAAGTACAAAGCCCAAAATCCTGGAGCTGTGTGCTTGGGGGGTGACACAGTTCTTCCCCGAGACTCCCCGTCAGCTTCCTACCGTCTCTTTTGGAACTGCTGGTCTATCTCCGCCAACGACTGGCCTTTTGTTTCAGGAACAAATACATAGATGAAGCCCAGGCCGAGGACAGCGGTCAGTCCGTAGAGCAGAAAGGTCCAGGACAAGCCGATGGTGCCTGGAAACAGAAGGGCAGGAGCGTTGGCCCAGGACCGAGCACCGTGGCCCCGCAGCCTAGGCCAACTGCTGGACTCTAGGTCAGGTGTGGAAAGTCAGTTCACTCAAAGCAAATGTCCCCGATGGTCAATTTGCAGGTCAATTTGCAGACCAATAAGCTGTCAGGGAAGTACCTTAAAGTGGAAATCTCACTCATTGTCCCAGAGGCAGTGGGGTGAGCCAGGATGCAAGTCCACAAGCAAAGCACAGAGATGAAGGTGACTTGTGTTTATGGGAATGACCCCTCACCCACTTCTAGGGCACTATCCCGTGGACTGCACCTGGGCTCCAAAAGCCTGACCTGAGGGAATGTGGATCCAGCTGAGTGGCCAAACAGCTGCATGGAATTGACCTTGGCAAAGCTCAGTTAAAACAAAACAAAACAAAAATCATTAGAAATTCCATGAATTGGGCATGGTACAGTGACTCAAACCTGTAACCTCAGCACTTTGGGAGGTTGAGGTGGGAGGAATCACTTGAGCTCAAGAGTTCGAGACCAGCCTGGGCAACATGGCAAAATCCTGTCTCTACTAAAAATGAAAAATAAGAAAATTAGCTGGGTAGGGGCATACATCTGTAGCCCCAGCTACTTAGGAGGCTGAGGCGGGAGGATCATTTGAGCCCCAGAGGTCAAGGCTATAGTGAGCCGAGATCATGCCACTGCACTCAAGGTGACAGAGACCCTGAAAAAAAAAAAAAAGAGAATACCAGAAATTCCATGAATTGGTCATTCAGTGAATTGATCACTCAGAAAAGTGAGTTTCAGCCAGTTTGGCTTGTGACTGGTTTGGGACAGAGAACAAAAGCTGAAGTTCAGTCCTGGAGTTGGCAGGAGATTGGCAGGGGTTTGGGGCAGCGGGTGGCTCAACATCCTAGCCCCTGCCTCCTGCCGGAGCCTCCGGTGGGTCTCAGAGCCAGCAGCCTGGATGGGAATAATCCTGAAGCCTCTGATGTTATCCAGGCCAAGTCAGAGCAGAGGCTGTGGTAGAAGGGTCTTTGTCAAGGCGGAAGATAAATTCTGTTTTGGAAACCATCCTCACCTCTGACAGCCATGTCCATACCTCCTTTAGGTAGCCTCCCATGACCAGCTGGACCGATCGCCAGCAGGGAGAGCAACAGGCTAGAAGTCAGGGAGCCTGGTTCTAGTCTTTTGATTCCCTGGCTGGATGGGGAAGGATGTATTTTCCCATCTGTGAAATGGGAATGATACATGACACAATTCTAATAAATTCCTTCCTTCCTTCCTGTCTCCCTCCCTCCCTTCTTTCCTCCCTTCCTTGTTTCTCTCCTTTCTTCTCCTCTCTCACTCATTTACTCCACAAAAAGGAAAATGCTTGAAGATTGAGGCTGCAGGGAGAAGCTTGGATTCCCTAAGACTGGGGATGGGGAGACAGTTACGATGTGGGGGAGGGGTTCTTCCACTGGCGTTTCCCACAGCACTGCCCCGCCGCCTCCCAAGTTGGCTGCACCTTTGAGAAGGAAACTAATGGCCATAGGGAACAGGAAAATAACTGAACCCTAAGAACTGTGCCTTGGGGTCCACGGTGAAGGAGCCTGTGTACTCTGGCCCAGATGAGTAATACCCACCGAAGACCAGGGCCTGGAGCCATGAGCATCTCAGTGTCTCAGAGCCATCCCCTGGTGTTCTCGGGCCCCCATAATTTCCACCCCATCCCTCAGACTGGGTTTCAATACTAGGGAGAAAGAGATGATGTCACACAAACTTGATCTGAGAAAAACTTCCAGGCCAGACATGGTAGCTCATGCCTGTAATCCCAACGCGTTGGGAGGCTGAGGCAGGTGGATCCTTTGAGATCAGGAGTTCAAGACCAGCCTGGCCAACCCCGTGAAACCCTGTCTTTATGCAAAATACAAAACTTAGCTGGGCATGGTGGCGCACCTGTAGTTCTGGCTATTCGGGAGACTGAGGCAGGAGAATCGTTTGAACCCAGGAGACGGAGGCTGCAGTGAGCTGAGATTGCACCACTGTATTCCAGCTTGGGTGACAGAGCAAGACTGCATCTCAAAAAAAGTTAAAAATTAAAAAGAGAAAAAATTCCAGCTAGCAGGCGGCATGAACCAGTTTAAAACAACTGGGAGCAAATAAACGTTGCTGCTCTTAGACCTGCCGATTGACCTCAGACAACCTCTCGCCAGTACCGAGTGTAGCCTATCACCCATTAGCTGGCCTGGGGAGTTTAACAGCGCGTTTGAGGGTCCTGGATGTCATCTTGGACACTTGGTGATGTTTCTGCACAGAATAATAGCTCTGGAGCTAATGCATAGGAAAGTCCAAAAATGTCTGCTTTCAAGCAGGGAGCTTGGGCTACAGAAAAAAAATGGACTTGTCTGGGAAGCACTCACCAATGAGATCGAGGAAGGAGAGGCTGATCAAGAGGTTGGCCGCCCAGTTGAAGCTGTTACAGAAGGCGAAGGCTCTTCCTCGTATCTCCACAGGGTAGATCTCGCTGAGGACAAGCCAGGTCACTGGGGTGAGAGAGCAGGAGGGCTCCTGGGCTTTGGGAGCCTGGCACCATCAGGTCAAACACACAGCTTTGCAACAATGGGATTTTGCAGTGTCAGGCTCTCGACCAAACTCCCCCCATACCGCTGTAAGGATCCCAGTAGGGTCTCAGTTGGCTGAAGACTGAGAGGTTTTCTGGGACATGAGACTTTCAATACTAAGATGGGAACAGTCTTGGATGAACTGGGATGATTGGCATTCACCCTATTCATTAATTTCCTTCCAGTTGTGAGCTATGCAGGGAAAGATCCAGGCGTTAGGGGACCTGAAGCTTAAATGACTTGGGGAGCCTCTTAAGGAACACAAATTACAAACAAAATTAGGCACCGGCCCTGGGAGGAGCCACTGCGAGTAAGTGAAGGCCCTGAGGCTTCACGGTCAACCCACCTCTCGTGCCGTCTAACATCCTGCCGGATAGTCAGGGCGGGAAGTCCCCAACTTCCAGAAGGCTCCAGAGTCACCTGCAAGAAAACTCCACTTACCTGGCCCAAACCCAAAGGAGAAGGCACTGACAAAGACCATCAGGCAGAGCAATGCGGTCCAGCGCAGCAGTGCATGCCCCGGGGCGGGCAGAGGGGGTCCAGGGAGGGCAGAGCTCAGGGCCGGCTGAGGAGGGGCTGCTCCAGATCTGGGATGGGGCTTGGTTTTCTTAGCAGCGAACAAGATTGGCTCCCTTTGGTCCTCATTGGTCCTTGGCATGGGAGGTAGAGAGGAGCCTTGCAGCAGATGAGGGTCTCCAGGGAAGCTTGTCTGCCCGGTGGCATTGGGCACAGCCAGGCAGCTGGGGCCTGAGTCCATGGGCACAGCAAAGCTGACAAGGCCTATACCGCTGACCGACAGGGCCATGAGGGCACAGCCAGCTAGCAACAGAGCCCTGCGGCCTGCACGGTCCACCAGCCCCATGGCGATCAGGGTAGCTGCCACCTTCACTGCACCAAGCCCCACGGAGGCCAGCACGGCTGAAGATCCCCCATGGAAGCCAACAGACAGGAAGATGGTGGAGGCATAGGACAGCACGTTGGGCTGCCCTGTTAGTTGCTGGAAGAGCACCAGCCCCAGGCCCACTGTGGTCCGGCCTCGCATGTTATCCCGTGTCCTGAAGAGGTCCAGAAAGGAGTACTGTGACCTTCCCAGGCCCAGCTTGGGGGCCTCACCTCCCTGGAGTGGGATGAGGTCCTTGTGTGCTGCAGTCTCATCGGCATCGGCTGGGAGGAAAAGGAGGCTGAGGGACTGCAGGGCAGCAGGGGCAGTGGCCCAGCCGAACATGTGCCTCCATCCCCAGGGGGCACCGGCCAGTGCATAGTTGAGGGCATAGGAGAGCAGGATGCCCACGGTGATGCCTGCCTCATAGAGGGACACCAGCACTCCCCGCTGCCGTGGCCCCACCAGCTCTGACACGTAGATACAGCAGGCCATGGAGGAGAGGGAGATGGCGAAGCCAACCACAGAGCGGCCCAGGACCAGCCAGGCCAGGGAACCAGCCAGGCCCAGGCTCAGGCTGCCTGCCAGCAGCACCAAGTTGCTCCCAAGGATGGCTTGTTTCCTGCCATAGCAGTCAATGAGGAAGCCCCCGACCAGGGAGGCAAGGAGAGCCCCCAGGAGCAGGCTGCCGACCAGGAGCTCCTGCTCCAAGCAGCTTAGCCCGAAGTCAAGCTGCAGTGGCAGGAGGGCACCTGATATGACTGCCAGTTCATAACCAAAGGTCAGGCCGCCCAGCAAAGACACAGAGGCACACAAGGTCAGGACAGGTGGGGGACGACCTAAAAAACCAAAGTGACAGGGACAGAGTTAGAATGGTTCCTTGCCATACCATCAGTCCATTCAACCTTCCCTCCATCTGTCAATACCTCCCTCTAGCCATCCATCTACTCCATCTACTCAACTATCCATTCAGCCATCTATCTCTCCATCCATCCATCCATCCATCCATCCATCCACTCCATCAATTCAACCATCCATCCATTCGTCCTCCATCCATCCATCTACCCCATCTGTTCAACTACCCATTCAACTGTCCATTGATCCATCCATCCATCCACCCACTCCATCTATTCAACCATCCATCCATCTACACCATCTGTTCAATCATCCATTCAGCCTTCCATCCATTCTTCCATCCACTCCATTTATTCAACCACCCATCCACCATCTATGTATCCTCCACCCATTCATCTACTCCATCCAACCAAATATTTATCCATCTCTATGTCCATTTATCTGTCCCTTAATTCACCAAACCATCCATCAATTTATTGATCCATCTATCTACAAATCCATCCATTCATCCACCTATCTCTGTATTTCATCCATTTCACTCATTCACACATCCATCCATCCAAATTTATTTATCTGGCATCTACAACATGCCAGGAAGTGTTCTTAGAGCTGTAATACTGTAGTGTTGTTCAGGATCTAACGTCCTAGAAGAAATAGGAAGATGATAAATAAGTATATAGTTTCAGGTGGTGAAGATATCATGAAAAATGAAGCAGGGAAAGAGAATTAAGACTGATGGAGTAGCGCCATTTTAAGGCCTCTATAAAGAGCAAAAATTTGGGCAGAGATCTGAGTGACGTGAGAACAAAAGTCCTAGGAAAATCTGAGTTTCTTCTTTTAAAAGGTGAACTTGGCTAGGTGTGGTGGCTCACACCTGTAATCCCAGCACTTTGGGAGGCCAAGATGGGTGGATCACCTGTGGTCAGGAGTTCGAGACCAGCCTGGCCAAGATGGCGAAACCCATCTCTACTAAAAATACAAAAATTAGCTGGGCATGGTGGCAGGCACTTGTAATCCCAGCTACCAAAGAGGCTGAGATGGGAGAATTGATTGAACCAGGGAGGCGGAGGTTGTAGTGAGCTGAGATCACACCACTGCACTCTAGCCTGGGCAACAGAGTGAGACTCCATCTCAAAAATTAATTAATTAATTAATTAATTAATTAATAAAACAAGAGGTGAACTTATTCACATTTATTGCAATGACTGATACAATTGAAATTGCTTTTGCCATTTACTTTTGTATCTTCTATTTACTGTGCTATCACGATATTTCTTTTTACCTCCATTTCTGCTTCTGGAGGGTCAATTATGGGTGGGTTTTTGTTTTATTCTTTTCCCCACTGATTTGAGTGTTACACTTTCTATGTTTTCCTTTTCTCTTAGAGCAGCACCAACAGCATTTTCTGCAGTGAGAGAAATGTCTCCACCTATGCCATCCAATATGATAGTCACTAACCACGTGCAGATAATGAACCCTTGAAATGTGGCTAATGGGATGCAGGAACTAATTTTATTTTCTATTCTTTTTTTTTTTTTTGAGACAGTCTTACTCTGTTGCCCAGGCTGGAGCACAGTGTTGTGATCTTGGCTCACTGCAAACTCTGCCTCCTGGGTTCAAGGAATTCTTCTGCCTCAGCCTCCTGAGTAGCTGGGACTACAGGCATGTGTCACTATACCCAACATATTTTTATATTTTTAACAGAGACAGGATTTCATCATGTTGGCCTGGCTGGTCTCAAACTCCTGACCTCAGGTGATCCACCTGCTTCATCCTCCCAAAGTGCTGAGATTACTTACAGGTATAAGTCACCATGCCTAGCCTGAATTTTTTATTTTATTTTAATTAAGTACATATAAAAATAGCCACGTATGGATGATGGCTACCCTACTGACAGCTCACTCTTCATTTTTAATTCATACACTTAAATGTATATATTTCTGGAAGCATCTAGAACAATTCAGCAGTATCTATGTCATGCACCCCCACCCTGGACCTGACAAGAACATCTGCAATATTATAGCCAGATGTACGGAGAGTTTCTCTGGACCAGACACTGCTTTGAGCATTTTAAGAACACATTTAGGGCTGGGCATAGTGGCTCATGCCTATAATCCCAACGCTCTGGGAGGCTGAGGCAGCCTCCCAAATAAATAAAATTGTTCCATATTCCACCCTCCCCCACCCACTGATTTGAAAGTTACACTTCCTATGTTTTCCTTTTCTCTTAGAGCAGCACTGTCTAATGGCATTTTCTGCAGTGATAGAAATGTCTCTACCTATGCCATCCAATGTGATAGTCACTAACCACATGCAGATAATGAGCCCTTGAAATGTGGCTAATGGGATGCAGGAACTATTTTCTTTTCTTTTTTCTTTTTTTTTTTTTTTGAGACAGTCTTACTCTGTTTCCCAGGCTGGAAACAGAGTTTCTCACTTGCCTATAATCCCAGCTACTTGGGAGGCTGAGTCAGGAGAATCATTTGAATCCGGAAGGTGGAGACTGCAGTGAGCCAAGATCGTGTCACTGTACTCCAGCTTCGGCAACAGAGTGAGACTCTGCCTAAAATAAACAAACAAACAAGCAAACAAAAACCACATTTAGTTCTTACCCCAACATCATGAGGTAGGCTCTTACATTATTTACGAATGAATAAAGTGATCAGTGGAGGAGTGACCTAAGGTCAAAAGTAGTAAGTGCAACTGGGCAACACAGCAAGATCCTGTCTCTACAAAACATTTTAAAATTGCCCAGGCATAGTGGTGGGAGCCTGTAGTCCCAGTTATTCAAGAGGTTGAGGTGTGAGGCTTAAGCCCAGGAGCTTTAGGTTACAGTGAGCTATGATCGTGACACTACACTCCAGCCTGGTGACAGACTGAGACACTGATCCCCCCCCCCCACAAAAAAAAAGTTCCCCTATGGGGGTGGGTAAAAAAAAAAGTTGTAAGCAGCTGAGGCTAGAATGAAAGCCAGGCAGTCTGGCTCCACAGTTAAAACTCTTGACTGCCCCATTATAAAACTTTGGTGCAACGTGATTTCACTCTGTTCTCTTGCTTCAGTCCCTTCCTAGCTCTGTCAGGTAATCTTTGTGCGGAGGGAGGAGTTCCACGGGTGAAGGAATCACCCCCCACCCCTCACCCCACCGTTCTGCTCATCCCTCTCCCCTGACACTCCTGCCCTCCAAGGAAACAAGCTCTTGTCACTGCCTGGCTGGCCTGTCCTTCCTGTTCCTCAGCACCGGTAAACATCCTGGAAGATGCTGCTCAGATCCTGCTCTGTCTTCGCCCCCTTTGCCCCTCCTCCCTCATTCCTGGGGTTTTCTTCCAGAAAGGAAAGTCCTCCCAGGCCATGTGAAGCAATCGAGGTGAAAGCCCAGGATTTGTTTGCCACTTCCTGGGTTCCTCCTGCCGCGAAAGGGAACCCAGCCAAAGGACTCGCAGGTTCCTCCCACCGGTCCCACTGGAAAACCCATCAGTGCAGGTTCAGGTTGCAATGGACCATAAAGCCAATGGATAATCAAAACAAACGAACATGAAGTAAAATGGTAATAATACCAGGTGTCATGTATGGAGACCTCCTCTGTGCAAAGGCTTTCCTTTCCTTCCCTCAGTCCATCCTCATAACAATCCTAGGTGAGACTGCTGCAATGATTCCATCTCACAGATGCCGAAGCGAAGGCTCAGAGTGTTCTCACAGCTGGGTAGCAACAGGATCGGGGCAGAAACGCTGACCTGCCTGCCTCCCAAACCCATGCCCTTGAGAGCTCTGCCGCAATGACGTTCCAGCAAGAGCCAATCAGAGATGGGTGGGGTAGGAGACAGCTGGGGTGCAGGGGCAGAGGTGGAGGGGAAAGAGGGAAAACCCCAAGGGATAAAGCATGGTAAAACGATACTGTGGCATGGGACTGTAGATGGAAAGGAGCACCCCAAAGCAGTCGGGGGCTGTCAGGAAGATGAGGAAGAACATTCCCCCTCCATGGTTCCCAACACCTGAGTCAGTCCCACCACCTTAGCACGACAGCCGAGGCCCTTGATGGGCTGCCCTAACTCCTCGGCCACTTCGCCTCATCCCGGACCGTGTGGCCGCAGCCTCCCCCGCACGCTCTGCCAACACGTGTGTTCGCGGCACAGACCGCGCGCTTCCACGCTGCTCCACCTCCGCACGTGCCGGGCTTCCTGCATGCATTTCCCTTGTTCCCCAGGGAAAGGTGCCTTTGTTCCTCTACGCTCCCTCCTCGGTCCCAGGTCCTGCGCCACCTCCCCCAAGGAGCCTCCAGGTATGCACGTCTGTTACTTGGCATCCACCCCTTGTCTTCCATTGTGGGAGTCGCCCTCTCCCTACAGTCTCTGCGTTTGGGTGAAGATGACCGCCCCAACCTCCACCCTGGTGCCCAGCCCCACGATGGTGTCCACAATCCACATCCAACCAATCAGCAGATTCTTGGGCCCCAGGCTGAGGCGAATACCACGTGGCCAAGCCTGGGCCAGTGAGGGTCAGCCCCAGCCTGTGTGCTCACCGGGGGTGCCAAGCTGGTGGTTTACCTGGCTGGAGCCACTGGGGGCCATCTTCCCAGACGAAGGATTCCTGACAACACTGTCTGAGCCTCTAGATCCAACTGCGCCTGAAGCCATAGACTTCAGTGAACAATAAATACTCATTACCAATTTCTTTATTTTTCCAAAGGTTTGCCTGAGATTTTTTTTTTCTTAATCTCAGTGCCCAAATACCTTTTATGTTAACAGACAGCGACGTTTGCTTAGTGCCTTTCAGTGGAAAAGTCTGAGGGAGTTCCAGATGAAGTCCCATGCGTCTTCCTCAGCTCTCTGCTGCACTCCCTTCACTTGCTCACGCTGCAAGCTCCTTTATGAGTCTTCCATATTCAATTAAGGAGGGCAGGGATAGAGACTGACAGCCCTGCGTTGACACCCAGGAGGGACTCAGTGAAGTTTCTGCTGAATTAATAAATGACCGAGTAGAGGACCAGGGCTCTTTCACCTCGTGGCATTTCTGGGGCTGAGTCAGATACCTCTGAACCTAATTTTTCTTTTCTTTTTTTTTTTTTTTTTTAAGACGGAGTCTCACTTTGTCACCCAGGCTGGAGTGCAATGACGTAGTCTCAGCTCACTGCAACCTCCGCTTCCCGGGTTCAGCTAGGAAATGATTCTCCTGTCTCAGCTTCCAGGCACGCGCCACCACACCCAGCTCATTTTTGTATTTTTAGTAGAGATGGGGTTTCATCATGTGGACCAGGATGGTCTCGATCTCTTGACCTCGTGATCCGCCCACCTCAGCCTCCCAGAGTGCTGGGATTACAGGCGTGAGCCGCCACATCCGGCCGACTAATTCTACACAGCAGCCAGAGGGATCCTGGGACAACCTAAGTCAGGCCTCACTCTTTGCTGAGTCCTCCAAGGCTCCTATGTCACTCTGAGAAAAGCCAGCATCCTCACTGTGACCTTCAAGGCTCTGCAGGACCCATCCCCTCTCACTGGGCTCCAGCCACCCTAGTTCCTTGCTGCTACTCTCACTCCGAGCATGTCCCAACTCAAAGCTTAGTACCCACCAACCTCTCTGCCTGGGAAGCCCTTTCCCTCCATGCCAACGGCTCCTTCCCTCCTCCCTTCTGCTCTTTGCTGAAACATTCCCTTCTCAGTGAGGCTGTCCCTGGCCTTCTACCTAAAATTCAAGCTTCCCGAAGCGTCTAGCACTTTAGAGCCCCTTCTCTACATGTTTTTTCGGCGAAGTCATCCCAACAGCTGTTGTGTGGCACTTTTCATCATCTAAAATAGCTACATATTTTACATATTGATTGGCCTCCCTGACCTGAAAGTCAGCCTCAGGGGAACAGGAATGGTTTGTTTATTCTCAGCTGTCTCCCTGATGCCAAGGAAGGTTACTCAGCACTTGTTCAATCAATATTTGTTGATCAAATGAATGATCGAATGAATGAATGAATGAACAAATGAACTGTGGGGACGTGGAGAATCCGGAGAGAAAGGGTCTTGGCTCTTGAACATCTGGAAAGGTCCAGGGTCTGGAAGTGACCATGAACAGGAAGCAGAGTAAAGCCTGGTCCTCAGATTAAGACGGCTTAGGCCAGGCGGGGTGGCTCACGCCTGCAATCCCAATACTTTGGGAGGCCAAGGCGAGTGGATCGCTTGAGCTCCTGAGTTCAACACCAGCCTGGGCAACGTAGTGAAACTCCATCTCTACCAAAAATACAAAAATTAGCCAGGCGTAGTGGCACGCACAGGTAATTCCAGCCACTCAGGAGGCTGAGGAGGGAGGATGGCTTGAGCCTGGGAGGCGGAGGTTGCGGTGAGCCAAGACTGCGCCACTGCACTCTAGCCTGGATGAGAGAGCCCGACTTTGTCCCCCGGCCCCAACAAAAAAATAAAAAAAAAAAAAAAAGAAGAAGAAGAAAAATAAAAAGAAAAGAAAAAAATTCGGGAGAACAAATTACGATGGCTTGACCCGAGTTCAGCAGGTGAGTTTCCTTTCTAGTAATCATCTGTCTAAACACAGGTTGTACGTGAAGATGTCCCTCACTAGAGGAAATTCCTTAACCCTCTAAGCCCCTCACTGTGGAGGGCAGAGCTTCCCAGGGAGAGCCGGGGCAAGCGGAGGGGAGGGAACCCAGTTTGGGATGCAAGTATCTCCAGCTGCAAGTCAGGCTCCCGTTGGTGACACTAGAGCAGCGTCTCAACCAGAAGTCACAGAGCACTGTGTCCCTCCTGCACCGGAGACCTGCTGTGGCTTTCCCGGAAGCTCCAGGAGGAAGCCAGGAGTGAAACTGAACTGTCCGAATAACCTCTTGCAGAAGGCCAGCTTCCAATGTCCCAGCCATTGCAGCCACAGCTGATACTTGGAGCACCCACTAGAGCCGGCCACTCTCCTAAGGGGCTGTGTCTGTGCCAGCTGGCTTAATCCCTAGACAATCCTATGACAATCACTACTGTCATTCCCATTTTACAGAAATAACAGCCACACTGAGAGGTGAAGACATTTGCCCAAGGTAACACAGCTTGTAAGTAACACAGCAAGAACTTGAACTCGGGCAGTCTGACTCCAGAATGCCAATACTGGGTGCAATATAAAATAAAAACTCACCTTCACTCGCCATTTACCAACTACAGGTAATGAGCCAAGCACGTAAGTTCGCTTTTCCATGCCATCCTCATGGCTGCCCTGTGATAAGGGCATTTGATAGTGACCAGAGAAGTTGGCAGGGTCTCCCAGGTCAAAGTGGGGCCGTGGGACAAAATGGGAGGAATTGGGGCTGGAACCCAGTTCTGCCCCAAAAGGCAATACAGAGCCCACTCCCTCGGCCCTGCTGTGAAGTGAGCAGCGTAAGAATTCTGGAGAGGACAGAGACCAGCAGCTGTGACTTGTGCCTTCCCCAGCACTAGCGCCCAGCCCTCGCTCTGCCCATAGAAGACACTCAGCAAACAGCTGTTGAGTTGACTTAGCAGGAACGGGAGGTGCAGAAGCAAGGGGCCAGGGCTGAGCTGAATGTCCTTAAGAAGGCCTTGACCTCTCTGGGCCTCGGTTTTTTTCTCAGGCTCTGGGGCACTGTGCCATGGGGGTTAAAAGGATGGACTCTCAAGTCAGAGCTGGGAGTGGTCACCAGTTTTACCACGCGAGGCCAGGTTGCACAGTGGTTAGGACTGCAGACCGGAGCCAGAATGCTGGGGTTCTTCCCAGCTTCTCCTCCCCAGAGCTGTGTGACCTTGGGGAACTCACTTCACCTCTCTGGGCTTCCCCATCTACAAATGGGATAATAATATGCCTACCTCCTCTGCCTACCTACTTCATGGCCAGTGTTAGCTACTACGATTCTCCATAGAACGACTCACAGCCAGCTTTGAAAAGAGAATTCAGGTCACGCCCCCAGCTCCAGCTTAAAACCCTTCTCCAGCTTCCCGTGGCATTTGCAATAAAATCTGAACTTCTCACCACCGCCTACAAAACCCTGTACACCTCTCTGACATCCGTTTGACCTCAGTGCCCTGCCCGCTGGCTGTGCTCTGGCCATTCTGGCCAGGGCCACACGCAAGCTCATTCCTGCCCCAGGGCCTCTGCACTGTTTGCTGCTACCTGGAAGCTCTTTCTCCAGATCTCAGCAAGGCCCGCTGAGATCTCAGTCCCAAACCTCCTATTCCAGAACACCCACCCTGACCACCCACCTACAGAACTCATGCCCTCCGCGTCATGCCACCCCATTATATGTGTTCCACAGCACCTTATCTCTCTCTGAAATTATTCACAAACGTGTTTACCCAGCTACTTAACCAGAATGCCAGCTCCATGAGAGAGTGGATGATTGTCTATTTTGTTCACTGCTGGATCTCCAACGCCCTGCATCAATGTCTGGCACATAGTAGGTGCTCACTGAAGAATCAATGACTGACTGACGCTTTGAGAATTCTGAATGCAGAGAGAAAAACAGAGCCCTAGTCGCAACAAAGCCATTCCTTACTCGTCCCACCCCAATGCTGTCGAACCTCCTTCTCTGTCCCCTCTCTGCAGAAGCACGTCCAGCGCAGCGGGTCGTCTGTTTTGTTCTCGGTTTGTTCGCGGCAGCGTCCCCTGGCCCACCGCAGCGGCTAGGGCACAACCGCGCTCCGTGAATCGACGAAGGGCTTTGCTCCTTTCGGAGCCTCCATTTCTTCCTCGGCAGCCCAGGGACCACTGCACTTGCCCCGGGCTGTGGGATGAGGCGCCCGGGAGAGCTCCGGGGTCCTCGTGGGCGCCACAGCAAGTGAGGGGCCACTTTTTCCGGGGCAGGAAGGACGCTGGAAGGAAGCACGACCGAGCCCCGTCCCAGCCCCCGCCGCAGGCCTGCAGCCCCGGCCGGCCCCGAGAGGCGGAATCCGGCCGGGGCGGCGCAGGCGGAGCCAGGGGGCGCGCAGTCTTGGGGGCGCGAGGGCGGTGTCTACACCCCGGGAAGGGGTCGGGCTCCTGCCCGCGGCGCCCGATCGGGACTTACCCATGGCGACCGGGACTCCGCGGCGTGCTGGGGGCGCATCCCCCGGGCCGGAGTCCCCAACGCCGCCGCCGCGGGACAAACTTTCAGGCCCGCCCCCTCCTGCACCGCCCGCCCGCTCTCAGCGCCGCCAACGCCACGTCGGCCAGCCGGGGCCTGGGGCCTGGAGGCGGGACGGAGGGGAGCCCGGGACCGCCCCCGGCCGCCCGGGCCTGGCAGGGACCCCCTCCCTCGCCCGCTGTCCTCCCAGGGGCCCCCATGGGCTGTCTTCTGGGTCCCCCACTGATAATCCTCCCCTGGGGGGTCACTCCAGCCCGCTGTCCTCTCCAGGTCCCGTGAGACGCTCACGCACACGCACTTGAGCCGCTGGCTCTCCGGTGGATTCATCCCTCATTCACTCCACGCTTGGATTTGAACACCTACCTCAACGCAGACGCTTTGCTAGGCTTGGGATGGGCCGAAGAACAAAACAGACAAGCCTTTCGTTTACATTCTAGGAGGGGAAGAGTTTACATTCTAGGAAGGGAAGACGGAAAAGAAATAACTAAAGGATCCCGAGAAACACCAGCTAGTGAGAAAGACTAGGCAGAGTTAAACTAGAGTGGTGAGTTAGGCAGGCACAGGTGGCTGCTTGAGCTCGCTGATCTGGGGAGAGGATATCTGAGCAGAGACCAGGCATTCCCCCCCCCACAGACGGAACAGCAAAGCCAAAGGCTCTGGGGTGGGAAAGTATAAAGAACCCAGAAATTAAGCCACTGTCTGGAGCCGAGGAGGAGACAGGGAGAGTGGAGGGAGATGGGGGCTAAGGGAGGGGCTTCGGTGGGCCAGGGTCAGGAATGTAGATTTCATCCCCATCAGCAGGAGAGATTAATTGGGGAGTTCTGACTCGTTAAGGGCCGGAAGAGGGAGACCACTTGGGAGGCAAGGTGAGGAGTTGGTTTGGGCTCACGTCACAGCGGTGAGGTTGGAGAAGAGTTAGGCCGATCACATATAGACTCGGTCAGAACTTACAGACTGGAAGAGGGGCAGCTTGGGGCTGGAGAAGGAGACCCAGAGTTCTGTCTTGGCTGTGCGACATCTCAGGTGCTCATCAGGCAGCCATGTGGAAATAGGTGGGCAGCTGGCTATGAGCCTGGGGTTCTGGAAAGGGGTAGGCTGGGGACACCACCGCTAATGCTCACTCAGGCAAAAATACATGTGCAAGCCCAGCACTCACATGGGCGCAGCCTTATCCAGCCTCTAACACGTGTTCACACACAGGCACCTTCGCACACGTGCACCAGTAGTTGTACCCTCACCAGATAAAGCCACAGCGACCCCTACCGTACAGGTGGACACACAGGCATTCTTCCAAGCTACAGACACAAGCAGGTATCTCAGCGAAGACGGCAGCATCTGCAAGACCTCTGAGCCAAGGGATCCTTGTACAGTTCCGGAAATAATAACAGCTGGGGCAGTTTGAAAACATGGCTCCAGAATTCGTGGTTCCTTCCCTTGAAATCAAAGAGGGCTTGTGACTGGTTTGATCAGTAGCCTGCAGAGTGACACTGTGTAACTTCCGAGGCTGGGTCATTGGAACACTGGCACCTGGAACCCTGAGCCTTCATGTAAGAAGTCCAATTACCCTGAGAGCCTCCTGGTATTTGTGGCCTAGTGGCATCCCCTTCTCTTCTAGATGTCACAAGAAGTATCACTTAGCAATTTACTTCTAAGGAATAGAATACGGCAAATGTGGTGGATGTCATTTTCGGATTAGGTTATAAATGATGGCGATTTCTGTGTTGTTCTGTCTTGGGATCTGTCATTCCTTTGCTCTGTTGAAGCCTTTGAGCTGCCATGTTTTGAGCTTCCCAATGGAGAGGCTCACATGGTACGAAGCCATTGAATTACATAGCTAATGCCTCCAGGGACTGAACCGCTTAGATCAACAGCTCCTACAGAACTAAATCCGGCCAACAAGCTTTTGATGAGCTTGGATGTGAATCTTCCCTCAGCCTAGCCTGGAGGTGACTCTAGTCCTGGCTGACACCTTGATTTCAACCTTGCAAGACTCTAAGCTCTTGCTCAGAGCTAAGCTATGCTAAATTCTTTATCCTAGAAGGCATGAGATAATAAATGTTTGTTTCTTTAAGCCACTAAATGTTGAGGGTAATTTGTTACACAGTGATAAATAACTAACATACATTTTATTATTGTTAATTGTCTTGATTAGAAAAAGGAGATGGATCATCTCCAGGAGAAAGTAGGGATTCAGTTATATCTACATGGACACTGGGAGGCTTATCACCCTTGGCCTTGAATCTCTCTTTCAGCCCTTGAACAGTTAACCATAAGAAGCTGAGAAATCAGTAAAAGTAGTATCTAACTTTAATTTAATGTCATCTTAAGGGACTGAAAATGCCTTTGCAAAGATTAGAGTGTGAGAGAAATCTGGCACGGTTGACTCCATTTTACCTCTAATCTCACAGGCTACCTCTCTTCACTTACTGATTTCTGCACATAGGCCAAGCTAACCATGGGAGGAATTTAGTTTTTATTTTAACTTTGAAGCAAGGATGGTAATAATCCCTCCCTAAAACTAACCCCCTCCTTGCTCAGGGACTGAGCCACCGTTGTAAAATTAATGAAAGGCCATGCGGCTCAGATTATGGGATGGGCCTGAATGATGCTAACATGTAGGTGTCGTTTCGATAATTCCTGTTGCTCAGGAGCCATGTGGCCAGAGGTCACAAGGTTTGTAATTTTCCCAATTGCTCCTGTAGACAGCATCACTATTGTAGAACCTAAGAGTCATCTTTTGAGACGGTTTTCATACTTTTGCATCCTGGCAACAAGAGGACCCTCCCCGCCCCCCCGGACTGAAGATTGATGACTCAATGGGTCCTGTAGTCCTCATCTAGAGGCAGACTCAGTGCATGGGGCCATTTTCCATCTCAATGATTTCACCCCCAACCAGTCAGCAGCACCCCTTCCCTAGATCCCTGCCCACCACATTATTTATAAAAACCATGGCTTCTGAGGTTTTCAGAGAGACTGATTTGAGTAGTAACTCCACTTAGCCCACTTGGTTAGCTCTGCATTAATAAAACTCTATCTCGACGCAATACTGCAGGCTCGGTGAATTGGTTTTGTCTGTGCCGTGAGCAGGAGGAACTCATTAGGTCATTACAGGGCTTTGCTGAAAGCCCTTCTAACCAATGTCTGTCTCTAAGAGTTGTGAACCTCTCACTCACTATTTAAAAAGCCTATTCATTAGCTTGGGGGTCTGTCATGGAAAAAGGAGTTTCTTTGATTTAAAAAAACAATCCCTTAAAAAGCCACTTTACCAAACTTCCTTTTACAGATGGCCTCAGAACCCAAGTTGATTTCTTCGGGAGTGACACAGAATTCAGATAAAATACAGGATGCCCAGTTAAATGTGAATTTCAGATAAACATAGGACATACTTTTACTACAAAATTATTTGATGTCTATCTGAAATTCACGTTTAACTGGGCATACTATTTGTTGTTGTTTTTGCTGACTCTGGCAACCTTACCAACCATTGTTTTGAGCTGAGGCCCTGCACTAGTCCCCCGACAGAACAGACTGAACACCAAAATGGAGTCACCCATGCTAGAGTTCCAGGTCACCAAACCTAAACTAAGTTGTTATCTGACCTTTCCAGAAATCAGGAGAAAGAGAGAGAACAGCCCATTTCCCAAACAGGCCAGCTGAAATCTTTAATCAGCGTGATGATGAAGTTCCTCTGCTTTAATCCTTACACTAAAAAAAGTAGCCTAAAGTAACCGGATGTTAACGAGTTATTTTTCTATTGCTCTGTCTAAAGTAACTAACAGACTTTGTGTTCTTGGTTTCTGCTTTCTTCAGTCCTTCTCTGTCTTTATAAAGCCAACCTCTGCTGCTCGGCTTATTGGAACATTTATTCTATTTGAGGAAATGAAGTGTTGCCCGATTTTAGAATTGCAAATAAAGCCAACTGAGATCTTTAAACCTGTTATGATTTTGTCTTTTGACACAGCTAACAAGGAACAGACCAGGAAAAACTGCACTTCCCTGGGGCTGTCGGGATGGATCAGAAGAGGCAGGATGAAGACAGCAGGAGCCAGAAGGAGGCTTCAGCTGTGAATCATGTAGGAGGGCGTGGAGTTTAAACTCAGCTGGCGGCAACCCCGACGTTTAGCAGGAGTGAGGAGGGGAGGGCACGATGGAGGGTTGGATTAGGGCTGAGAAAGGGCGTATAACTTGCGCATTTGGAGTTTGTTTTGTAAGTGGCTTCTGCTCTGAGATCTTATTTTGTATTTTTTGCAATGGAGTCTCACTATGTTGCCCAGGCTTGAGTGCAGTGGCTATTCACAGGCATGACAATAGTGCCCTACAGCCTCTCGCTCCTGGCTCAAGTGATCCTCCTGTCTCAGTCTTTCGAGTAGCTAGGACTACAGGCATGTGCCACCGTGAAACTGTCCTCATAGGGTTAACGAGAATTACATGTTGGGCTCTGGGCAGAAATATAATGAAGTGTTAATTCGGCTGCACTTTGGCTCCCTCGTTGGAACTGCAAGTCATGTGGCACTAGAGACCGCCTTTTCATCCCTGTTGTTCCTCTAGATAGGATTTCTGACCTTAGACTCATAAGGCTTTTTGTGTAGGAATTGCTTCAGATGTTCCTCAGATCCTGAATTCCAGTGGACCGGCAGATGCCAACCAGTCTGAAGACCCCCACAGAGGAACTGAATCAGCCTAAGAATGCATTTTTTTAAATCTCCCTGTCCTGTGATTTCACCCTGTATTCTTTGACCAAACAATAATCCCTACACCTCAGCCCACTCCAAAACCCTTAAAACCCCAAGACTCAAACTCCTCTAGGAGGTAGATTTTAGGTTGCCTTCTGTCTCCTCATTCAACTGCCCTAAGATGTTTTAATTCTTTCTCTGCTGCAACCCTTTGTATTGGTTATTGACTTGCCCTGCTTCAGGTAACAGACCTGTAATAGTCACAACCATAGTCAGCTTACTTGGAGATTTTTTTTTTTTTTTGAGACAAAGTCTCGCTCTGTCACTCAGGCCGGAGTGCCGTGGCGTGATCTTGGCTGACTGCCGCCTCTGCTTCCTGGGTTCAAGAGAGTCTCCTGCCTCAGCCTCCCAAATAGCTGAGATTAGAGGTGCCTACCACCACGTCCAGCTAATTTTTGTATTTTAAATAGAGACAGGGTTTCACCATGTTGGCCAGGCTGGTCTCGAATTCCTGGCCTCAAGTGATCTGCCCACCTTGGCCTCCCAAAGTGCTGGGATTACAGGTGTGAGCCACCACACCTGGCCACTATGAGCTCTTAATTACTGTTTTTCTCTGTCTTCTCATTTACCATTTATAATCACCTCCCAACTCTCTATATATCTCTTCTTTGCATATTTCTGTCTGTTGCATTTATCACCATCTGATACACTGTATATCTTTTTTTTAACGAAAAGCAGAGCTAGTTATTAAAATAGCAATGTATGTCACATTAAAGAACATCATATGTTAAAAATAATACATATTTGGAACAAGACTCAAACAAAAACCTAGTTACATTTTTGTATCTTTCTAGATAAGCAGTGTTTTTTTCTTCATTCCTTCTTTTATAAAAATAATTTTAAAAAGCTTTATTGACGTGTTAAAAACTTTAACAGAGTTTAATTGAGCAGAGGATAATTTGTGAATTGGGCAGCCCCCTGAGCCAGAATAGGTGTTACCGTATGGTTGATTTATGAACAGAAAAAGGAAAGTGACATAGAGAAAGTGTAAGTGAGGTACAGAAACAATTGGGTTGGTTACAGCTTGGCATTATCTTATTTGAAAACAGTTTGAACAGTTGGCCACCATTGACCGAAACTTGGTGATAGGTATAAGAGTTAGTTGTAGTCTTTTTACACATGTAATTAGGTCACAGTACATTGTGTACAGAGCAACCTTTAGGCTAAACTAGAAATAGGTAAGAAGGCAGGTTTAGGCTAAACTCAACAGAAATCCAGTTAGCATATAATAAGCTCCACGTGCTTCAAGTGTCGAGTTTGACAAATTTTC